AAAGAACAAGATAACCAGATTGCCTTTTTAGATGTACTTATTAAAAATCCAATTCATTATTGACTTCAGTTTATCACAAAATAAAACATATTTTTACAAAATTTTTTAAGTTTTATTCCTTCTTGCTACAAATTTGGACTTGTTTGTATTTTGATTGATCGTACATTTAAAATTAATAATACTTGGGTTGGTTTTGATAAAGATATTAAGAATCTATCATTACTTTTACTAAATAATAAATTTCCACAAAAAATTATTGACTCTGAAATTAAATTCTATATTGATAAGAAAATGAACCCATCTGTTTCTAACATTTTTAATAGCTTAAATATAAGATACTTTAAGCTTCCATATATTGAAATGTACTCTAATTATACTGAAATGAAAATTTCAAAAATTGTTTATAAATATTGCAAGGGTGTTTTAATAAAATTAATTTTCACTACTAATAAAATGCAAGATTGTTTTTGCTTAAAAGAGTCACTTCCTAAATTGCTTAAATCTCATGTTGTCTATATATTTTCTTGCGCTAGCTGTAATGCCAGTTATATTAGAGAAACCTCCAGACATTTGGCAACTAGAATAAATGAGCACCTTAAAAGTGATAAACAATCTCATATATTCAAACACTTAAATTGATCTGTTAATTGCAAAAATCTGGCTAACTGTGATTCTTTTGAGATTTTGGATAATGCCCCAATTAAAGATAAAAGAAGCCCTCGACATTAAATGGGAAAGTCCCTTACTTAATAAACAAACTTCACAATATGCTATAAACTTATCAATTTAATTTTACTGTCAGTTTATCATTATTATTAAATATTTTTTTGATAGTTAGTTATTTTGATTGGTTATTTACTGAGTTATTTTCTAATAAATATATTGGTTCATTATGTAAATTTTTGTCCGTTATTATTTTTCTGTAAAGACTTCTATTTTTTAATATTTATTTCAGAGTTTTATTATTGTAAAATAATCTTTTGAAAATGTAAATAAAATTTTACGAAACATGTCAAGAATAAAAAACATCGTGTTATTTTAAAAAATAATTACTTATTTTATGCTCTTACGACGATCACAATATATATATATATATCTATATCTATATCTATATCTATATCTATATCTATATATATATATATATATATATATATATATATATATACAAAATAAAATTCAGGTCAGGTTTATCCTGCTACTGGTAACATGTAACCCAGTAAAATCTGCTTCATGTCCTGCTGCCTTGTAGGATATGCCTTTTTAGTCAAAGGCTAGGAGATGCAAACTCCGACATAAAAAAAACTCCCTGCCTTGGGGCTCTTGGTTGAGTAAAGGCTAGAGATGGCGGCTCGATAAAAATACTCATCTTGGGCAGATATTAAATGCATCCGGCTGCTGTCTTGTAGAAGGCCTCCTAGACAAAGACTTAAGAGGTAAACAGATTCTTTCTGTTGACCAGCCTCGCACCCCTTCTCCATTTGTTAGGCTGGCGCAGATGTATTTTTAATACATTGTTTCCAGTTTGGGATGTTGAAGGCTAGATCTTCTTAACTCGATGCATAGGTTTTGCTTGTGTCTTTGTTTTTATGACTAGGCAACTAATTCTATTATCTCCAAATGAGGGTACAGCTCTAAAACTCAGTTTTAAGGTTCTGAGGCCGGCTGGTAGTCAGGTTTCCCGAACTCTGTGGTAGCTCTCAGAGAGGCTGATTCCATCAACAGCTGAAAAATATAAAAGTACTAACAGTGCCATGTTGCGCATGGATGGTGTCCCTGTTTTTACTTTTGGCGTGCATTGCCAAGGCCTCATTGGAGCCCTTTGTTACGGCTAAGGGTTTATTAGTGGAAATGAGGCAATTGCTTGGGCAATAAAACAGTGTACTGAGTACTATCTATGTTTCGAGTAAAGTTCTTTAACAAATTTAAAAATGAATAAAGTAACAAAAACTATAAAACACAAAAAACCACAGTCATCACCAAGTTCGCTAAACCTATCATTCACCAATATTCGTGGTCTTCGAAGTAACTTTTCTTCTGTTGAGTCTTAACTCTTGCAAAGTTCACCAGACCTACTTGCTCTTTGTGAGACTAATTTGAGTTGAGCTGTCTCATCTTGTGATCTTAATGTTGATGTTTATCTTCTTTTAATTCGTAAAGACTCCAATAGTCACAAGCTTGGCCTGGGCATTTACATTCGTAAGAATTCACCCATTTGTCGGGAAACTAGGTTTGAATCCACAGACTACTCTTTTATGTGCTTTCGTTTAGCACCACTTCACTCTATCACCTTTCTCTTTGTTCTATATCGCTCTCCTTCATTTCAAAACTGCACTCTTCTTGATGTTATTTCTGATTATATTGACCAAGCCCTCATTCTTTATCCATCAGCCAATATTGTTGTTGTCGGTGAATTTAATATTCACCACACTGAATGGCTCGGCTCTAGTGCATTAAGGCCCACAACATTTGTCTTTCTCAATCTCTTACTCAAATAGTCAACTTTCCAACTCGCTTTCCAGACAACCCGAATCATTTACCTTCTTTACTCGACTTATGTCTTGTTTCTAATCCTAGTCAGTGCTTAGTTTCTCCACACTCATTCTTAGGTGCTTCATATCATGGTTTAGTCTCTCTGAAACTTTTATCTCATTCTTCTTTACCATCAGAATCCCCCTATCATTGTACATCTTACAGTTACCTTAAAGCTGACTGGGACTCTTTCCGTGATTTTCTTTGTGATGGCCCCTGGGTAGAAATCTTTCGTCTCCCTGTTGACAAATGTGCTTCTTATATAACTTCGTGGATTTAGGCTGGCATGGAATCCTTTATTCCCTCTCGACAATTCCAGGTCAAGCCTCACTCTTCTCCATGGTTTTCCTCACATTGTGCTGCTGCAATTGCTAATCGAAACCATTACTTCCATATCTATCAGCAAAATAATTCTCCAGAAAACAGACATCTGTGTATTACTGCTAGGAACCATTGTAAAAAAGTTTTGTCTAACGCCAAAGCTTGCTATTCTCAGATCATGAAATCTCGTATTTCATCACAAAAATTAGGCTCTCGTGACTTCTGGAGAATCTTTAATAGTATCAATAATAAGGGCAAGTCTGTAATTCCACCTCTTTTGTACGGTTCAGACTTTGTCACTTCACCTAAAGACAAAGCTGAATTGTTTGCCAAGAACTTTTCATCAATATCATTGATTCCACTAGCATTGATTGATTCCACTAACAAAATGAATTGTAAACATAGTTGGACCTACTCTTGCAGCCAACCTTCAATCTCTGTCACATCGTCGTAATGTTGCTTCTCTTTCTCTTTTCTACAAATATTATAATGGACACTGCTCTAAAGAGCTAGTGTCTCTTGTGCCATCTACAAAAATTCATTCTCGTGTTACTCGTCATTCAATTAAGTCTCATCCTTTTTCTGTTACTGTTCCTAAGTGCTCAAAAAACTCTTATTTGTCTAGTTTCTTTCCTCGAACATCAGTTCTTTGGAATTCGCTTCCTTCATCTTGCTTTCCTGATTCATATAATTTGCAATCTTTTAAGTCGTTTGTCAATCGTTATTTTGCTTTACAATCTTCATCTTTTCTCTTCCATTAACTTCCAACACTAATTAGTGGTTGCTTGCAGCCTTGTTGGAAGCGAAGATGTTTAAAAAATATATATATATATATATATATATATATTTATATGCATACATACAGGAGTGAACAGAGGGTGGGGGATCCAGGTCGGTTTTCCCTGCGCATCACGTTTAAGGCGCTTCATCAGATGAAAAAAAATTATCACTATTTCAAATAAAAAATTGAAAACATCCAATAAAGAATTAAAAGTTGTTGACTTTGTTACCTTTATTCATCAGATTACAGAGAGATTTCAAGCTTTAAACAGCAATGTAGAATAATTTTCTGCACTTGGTATACGCCTGACATCAATTCAGACTTAATTAACCGTCAAGAATTGTTCAGTCAAGTATAGTTAAAGATCTTGTACTTCTGTATCCAAATGATTTTAATAAAGACGAGTTTATTGATGAGTTTGCCACTTTTCGTCTGTTCGACGCAATCTACTGACACATGATCAGCCCTTAGATCTTCTGAATAACATTTATGAAAAGGGGTTTAAACGAAATTTTTCCCAGATATGCATCTGTCTTCTTATCTTTTTTACTTTACCAGTATCTACGGCTGAAGGCGAGAGATCTTTTAGCAAGTTAGCTCTTTTCAAATACTGACTAAGAGCCACTATAGGAAAAGATCGTCTTAACAACTGTCTCATCCTTTCAATTAAAACAGAGTTTGCAAAGAAAGCTCATTAAGATGTTGTAACTTCCAACTTTGCTGCTAGAAAAACTCGTAAAGTCTTGGTATAAGACCATTAAAAGTTGATAGCAAATCCAGAAATATTATTTTTTGTTGTTGTGTTTTATTGTTTAACTTGTGAACTGTCTTAAATACAGTATTTATTAATTATATATATATATATATATATATATATATATATATATATATATATATATATATATATATATATATATATATATATATATATACCCAGCGGGCATTTTGACGTGCTAAGGACGTCCGTAAGTCGTCTTAAGTCTCGTCCGTAAGACATCCTTAGTTAGTCTCAGATGAAAGGCCTGAGGACGTCTATTCCAGACGTCCTAAAAATGTCTTTTTAAGACGCCCCACTATGCGTTACTCTTATACAAAATGAGGAAATAGGCATATAAATAAAGAAGGACTTAAAATATTTAACTTATTTTTTCACAAGACATCAAATTTTTATTTATATTACTATATTTAAAAGAATCATATTCGGTTTTCATTAAAAAACAATTTATTGTATTTTTTTTCGGTTAGTCCGGACTAATTCTAGATTTGTCCGGAAAACTACACAAGTCCGGATTATTTTATTCAAAAAAAAGTAGGCGCCTATATTTTATAGAATTTTACAAACTATGTATATGAACACTATTTCAAAATAAACAGTATCATTGAATATAATAAACAACTCTGCTATCATATGATACTTGGCTCTTTGCATTCTTTTACAGTTTCTCAACATTCTATTCTAATAGATGTTTTTAATAACTTGTGGCTATGAAAATAGCCGTTTTTTAAAAATTCAACGCAGAACAGCTCATCAGTATGATTCTTCATGGTCTTACTTCCTAAAATAGTTAATTACTTGTTAAAATTGATTAAATTTTTTCTTAAATTTTTTTTTAAAAACATAAAAAAAAACAAAAAAAAAACGCAACTTTGAATTGTTAATTAACCAAAATTATGAGATTGCCTAACCAAAAAAAAAATCAATCAAAACTATTAACAATATTAATAATAAAACTATTTTACCTTTATTTTAAGCAGTTATCAGAAGAACTGTCACTTTGCTTTCTTAAACTATTTTGTTTTCACTCTTTTTTTATTCATTTTATTTTTTTTGCAAAAGAGGTACATATCAGATGTCATAAACAAATAATTAGCTGTATCCCTAGTGTTTTCTGCAAAAGAGGTTAAACGAGCATGACCAATTCGAGCAGTTTTGTTTTCCTTATTTCTGGCTTCAATAGCACTCTCAGACAAAGAACCTATCGGATACTTAAAATACCTTATAAAAGAAGTACCATGAACTATCACTCTATGCACAGATTGTGACATAGGTATGGTTTTTAAAAATTTATCATTAGTTATGAGTGCAAATAGATGTTCAGATTTCTGTTTGAAAACCTTTATATCCGGTCTTGTAGTTGTTCTGTTTATATCAATGAGTAAATCTCGAAACAACTTAATCATTCTGATATCCAAGTTTAAAATTCTCCTTATATTCAGTTTTATCTTGAATAAATGCTGGAATTTTTTTTTGTTTTCAATAAATTCTTTACTCTTTTGTGATGGAATATTTCTTCCTTGCTTAACAGCTGGGAGTTTACAAGCAGTATTGAAAATCCACTCCATACAGCACATCCATAGATGAAGACTGCAAATTCCAAGTTTCAAAACATGCTTGTTTAAGTTAATATTTTTTTCCAAATAGTTTTCAAGTTAAACTCCTTAGAATTTGCAAGGCATACATGGCAGGACTGAGATGAAATTCTTTTTTTAAGCATATTTGATACAACAGCGTTTAGTGTTTTGCCATCATTCATTGTGGTATAAATAGTTGACAAACTAGACTTTACTACAAAAGTACTTTCACCAAGTTTAAATTCAATATTCTTCAATAAAAAAATTTCATTTTTCAAATGTTCAAATTTTTCCTGAATAAAACTAGCAGTCTCTTTTGCAAAACAAAAAAGAAGATGACGGGTTGCATCTGGACTATTTGGAATTAAATTTTTCCATATTATTTTTTCTCCACTTCGGATCTCCAGCAGTACAAACACTATACTATACACAGAGCGATCATCTACACCTCTTTTCATAGTTGCTGAATTTTGAAACTCCGATTGATCACTTTGACCATCACCTCCTACTTTGCAAATAACTTGTACATTATCACGCTCTTCTTGTGATAAACTCATTATGCAGTTACTTTCATAATCCAAAAGATATTCAAACACTCTAGAAACTGAATGCTTTATCATATGGAAAAGACTACATTTTACTTCGGTTTCAGAATATTCAACCTGCTCTGGATATGTCAATTTTTTGTATTGCTTCAACTTGGTTAAACCTGGAGGAACAAGATGACGATTATGAGTCACTATATTTTTAAATTCAGTCCATGTTCTATCTGTAAGTTTCAAATTACAAAGAGCTTGCAATGACAAATTTGAACCATATAAAATAGCCCTACCATCAGTAGAAGAATTAGATTTAAACCTTTTGACAGCATGTTGCAGTTCTTCCGCCTCTCGTTCTCTAAGACTATCTGTTCTTTTACGCTTCATCCTGTTTGTAAGCTTAATAAAAGACTTTCTAGGTTTTGGTGTACAAGATGTATTGACTGCAGATGATTTAGGCACTCTACATGGTACACTATAAATAATAAAAAAAATACATTGAAACATATATACATTTTGAAGGTTTTGTGAAACATAGTCAAACAATATGTATGTGTGTGTGCAAAATAAAAAGAGGGAGATACATTTATCTATGCATACCTGTTTACATTGGATCCATGAGTACGAAGCAGTAATTCCCCTTCTTTTATTTTACGCTCACCCTGCTTGATGAGTTGATTACCCTGTTTAATCAGATTTTCACTATTTCTAATTAATAGCAGTTCTTCCTCATGTGTTCTAATCTCTTTTTCTAATCTACACACACAAGTATAATATATATATGTATATATATATATATATATATATATATATATATATATATATATATATATATATATATATATATATATATATATATATATATATATATATATATATATATATATATATATATACTATAATGCAATATTTATTACTTATTTATAATAAATCAATATAGAATATATTATACTCACAAGAGATATTTGCATTGTTGATTTTGATCCAAAAAATGTGTATATTTGGTAAGAAAGAACTTTTTTCTTTTTCCACACTCATTAAATTTTTTTATTAAGTTAAAAGCTGGACTTTTGAAAATGTTGAAATTCACAGTGCAATCAGCATAAAGTGATAAAAACTTGGACTGCAAAAATTTAGCACATTCAGGTACGTTTTTACTCGTGAAAATATGCCTTGGAGGAAAAATATCAGCAAGAAGTTTGGTAAGATTAAAAGTAACCATTTTTAAAAAATTCTAAATCACGATGAGAGCCAAACTGAGGTTATAACTTAAAGACTAGAAAAGAATGTTCCGCCCGCATCCAGTTTCTTCTTGACAAAAACTAACTAACCGGTTTTTAATAAATTCACCTCTTTTGAATTGATTTTATAGCATGTTACTACAGAGGTAGCCAGAATATTATTTCACTTATAAAAAGTCAATTTGTTTGAGAAAATTTTAAAAAAATAAAAGACTGGCTACCTCTGTAGTAACATGGTCTAATCGATCAATATTTACAGACACCCAAAAACAATGATCCAAACATTTTTTTTTTCTTTTCTTGGTTTTTAATTTACGAAATGTATCATTTATTAGAAAATGTGCAAAAAAAATGAAGAAATTTGAAAATTATCTTATGTAATTTAAAGATTTAGTGAAAACATGGGTTTTTTACCCCTGAAAATCCCGCACCTAAAAAGGCAAATTTGAAAAAAAATTAAAAACAAACTTTTTTTTATTAACTAATACTAACTTGTTTCAGTTAAAAAATATTTAAAATATTAAAATTGAAAATTTTTTTCTGAAAAGTAAGTAAAATCCTATATCCGCTTCGCGACGCATAGTGCGCCCTAGAGACGTTTTTTGCAGACGTTCTAGAGACATCTCTGGCTGGTCTACTATGAAAGACTTAAGGACGTCTTTTCTAGACGTCCTAGAGACGTTTGAATTTTACCAAGACATTCTTTTAAAAGTTATATAAAAATGCAATGATTTACAACACACACCTTAGATTTGCCTTAATCTAGGCAAGAGAAGTTATAAAAAGAAATCAATGTAAATAAAGTGTAATTTGATATATTTAAAACAAATTAATAACTTTACAAAAAATAAGAATAATTTTTCAAACAAAGTTACATTATCCAAATTAAAAACTAATAGGTACTGTAGAATATAATCGATAGTGCATTATAAATAGAAGAAAATTGCTTATAAAAATGGAAAAAAAATAAATAAATACAACAGTTAATTAAGCCATCATTGATCGAAAACCATATTAGTAAATGTTCTCTTTATTCGGTCAGAAGAATGCCTACTTACTCTCCCAATAAGTTGGATGGCATTCGTTTTGGTTAAGTTTTTATTTGACTTAAAAGCAGCTTCTAAAAAAAACAACAAAACATGTTTCAATAAGATCATAAAATAAAATATACATGTCATGTATTCATACACTTGAATACATGTCATGTTCCATAGCCAAAGAAATTAAATTTTTTTTTTTTTTTTAATTAAAACATCATTTTTAGTTTTTAATTAATAAAACACATTAATAAGCTAATAAGAATACCAGTGACAGGGTTACATAGAGTTGTCAACTCTTTAAAATTTTTTTTCTTCTTTAGACAATTCATGCTGTATTCTGACAAAATAGTGTCTGTTGGCAGTCTACATTTATAAAAAAGAAGATAAATGCTGTACTGTCAATCATAAATGTTAAAATTCAAACTTTTGCTAATTACTTACAAGAGCAAAATATTTTTAATTGTATCAGCTAGATTTTTACCGCCAATTAATGATAACTGTTTCACCTAAAAAAAAACAATGTATAAGAAACATTGAAAATGTTAATGACAATTTAAAATAAATATTGTAATAATATATAACATATAAACTATAAAGATGAAACTCATGTATACAAAAGTATATATGTTATATATATATATATATATATATATATATATATATATATATATATATATATATATATATATATATATATACATACATATATATATATATAAATATATATATATATATATATATATATATATATATATATATATATATATATATATATATATATGTATGTATGTATGTATGTATATATATATATATATATATATATATATATATGTGTATATATATATATATATATATATATATATATATATATATATATATATATGTGTGTGTGTATATATATATATATATATATATATATATATATATATATATATATATATATATATATATATATATATATATATATATATATATATATATATGTGTGTGTGTGTGTATGTGTTTGTATAGGTATTTATATATAGATACATATATATATATATATATATATATATATATATATATATATATATATATATATATATATATATATATATATATATATATATATATATATATATATATAATATATATATATAATATAATATATATATAATATATATATATTAGTGTCAGGTCAGGTTTTCCTGCTACTGGTAACATGTAACCCAGTACAACCTGCCCCATGTCCTGCTGCCTTGTAGGATACGCTTTTTTAGGCAAAGGCTAGGAGAAGTTAACTCCGAATTAAAACACCCCCTGCCTTGGGGCTCTTGGTTGAGTAAAGGCTAGAGATGGTGTCTCGATAAAAATACTCATCTTGGGCAGATGTTACATGCATCCAGCTGCTGTCTTGTAGAAGGCCTCCTAGGCAAAGACTTAAGGGGTAAACAGATTCTATCTGTTGACCAGCCTCGCACCCCTTCCTCATCTATTAGGCTAGCGCAGATGTATTTTTAATACATTGTTTCCAGTTTAGGATGTTGAACGCTGGATCTTCTTGACTCAATGCGTGGGTATTGCTTGTGTCTCTATTTTTATGACTGGGCAACTCATTCTATTATCTCCTAATGAGGGTACAGCTCTAAAACTCAGTTTTATGGTTCTGAGGCCGGCTGGTAGTCAGGTTTCCCGAACTCTGTGGTAGCTCTCAGAGAGGCTGATTCCATCAACAGCCGAAAAATATCAGAGTACTAACAGTGCCATGTTGCGCATGGATGGTGTCCCTGTTTGTACTTTTGGTGTGCATTGCAGAGGCCACATTTGGAGCCCTTTGTTACGGCTTAGGGTTTATTAATAGTAATGAGGCTATTGCTTAGTTGTTAAATAGTGTACTGAGTACTATCTATACTTGAGTCAAGTTCTTTATAAATTTAAAATGACTAAAGTACCTAAAACTAAAAAACACAAAAAACCATCGTCATCACCAAGTTCTCTAAACCTATCATTTACTAATATTCGTGGTCTTCGAAGTAACTTTTCTTCTGTTGAGTCTTATCTCTTGCAAAGTTCACCAGACCTACTTGCTCTTTGTGAGACTAATTTGAGTTCGGCTGTCCCATCTTGTGATCTTAGTGTTGATGGTTATCTTCCTTTAATTCGTAAAGACTCCAATAATCACATGCTTGGCCTGGGCATCTACATTCGTAAGAACTCACCCATTTGTCGTGAAACTAGGTTTGAATCTACAGACTATTCATTTATGTGCTTTCGTTTAGCACAACTTCACTCTATCGCCTTTCTCTTTGTTCTATATCGCTCTCCTTCATCCCAAGATTGCACTATTCTTGATGTTATTTCTGACCAAATTGACCAAGCCCTCTCTCTTTATCCATCGGCCAATATCGTCGTTGTTGGTGACTTTAATGCCCATCACACCGATTGGCTTGGCTCTAGTGTCAGTGACTCTGCTGGCGTCAAGGCCCTCAACTTTTGCCTTTCTCAATCTCTAACTCAAATAGTCAACTTTCCATCTCGTTTTCCAGACAACCCTAATCATTTACCTTCTCTACTCGACTTATGTCTTGTTTTGGATCCTAGTCAGTGCTCAATTTCTCCACATTCACCCTTAGGTACTTCTGATCACGGTTTGATCTCTCTAAAACTATTATCAAATTCTTCTACTTCATCAGAATCCCCCTATCATCGTACCACATACAACTACCTTAAAGCTGACTGGGACTCTTTCCGTGATTTTCTTCGTGATGGCCCTTGGGTAGAAATCTTTCGTCTTCCTGCTGACAAATGTGCTTCTTACATAACTTCGTGGATTCAGGCTGGCATGGAATCTTTTATTCCCTCTCGACGATTCCAGGTCAAGCCTCACTCTTCTCCTTGGTTTTCCTCACATTGCGCTGCAGCAATTTCTAATCGAAACCGTTACTTCCATATCTATCAGCAAAACAATTCTCCAGAAAACAGACATCTGTTCACTATCGCCAGAAACCATTGTAAAAAGGTTTTGTCTGACGCCAAAGCTCGCTATTCCCAGGTCATTAAATCTCGTATCTCATCACAAAAATTAGGCTCTCGAGACTTCTGGAGAATCTTTAACAGTATCAATAATAAGGGCAAATCTGTTATTCCTTCTCTCTTGTATGGTTCAGACTTTGTCACCTCACCTAAAGACAAAGCTGAATTGTTTGCTAAGAACTTTTCATCAATATCATCTCTTGATTCCACTAGTTGCGTTTTACCTGACATAGCCGTCAAACAGGTTGATCCCTTGCTTGACATTCGCATCACTTCAGCTTCTGTATCTAAAGTAATTTCCTGCTTAGACTCTTCAACAGCTTGTGGTCCTGACAACATTCCTGTTGTAGTCTTGCAGAGGTGTTCTCCGGAGCTTTCATCCATACTTTCTAAACTATTTAACAAGTGCTTATCAGAGTCTTGTTTTCCATCATGCTGGAAAGCAGCATCTGTTATCCCTATTTTCAAAAATTCCGGAGAGCGATCTGATTCATCTAACTACCGTCCCATTAGTCTTCTTCCTGTCATAAGCAAGGTTTTTGAATCTTTAATCAACAAACACTTAATCTCTCATCTTGAATCAAATAACTTACTTTCTGATCATCAATATGGATTTCGGTCTTCTCGTTCTACAGCTGATGTGCTAACAGTAATAACCGATAGGTTTTACCGTGCATTAGATAGAGGTGGAGAGGTTAAGGCTATCGCACTTGACATTTCTAAAGCTTTTGATAAAGTTTGGCATGCTGGTCTTCTCCATAAGCTTTCTTCTTATGGTGTAGCTGGTAACGTCTTTAAGATTATTGAGTCCTTTCTTTCCAATCGTAGTATAAAAGTTGTCCTCGATGGACAACACTCTTCTTCACATCCTGTAACTTCAGGGGTTCCTCAAGGTTCAATCCTTGGCCCTATACTCTTTTTAATTTACATTAACGATCTTCCAGATATTCTCACATCTAAGGTGGCATTATTCGCTGACGACACTACCATTTACTCTTGTCATTATAAGAAGCCTACACTCTCTGATTGCTTGGAGGGGGTATCTGAGCTTGAAAAGGATCTCACTTCTGCTACAGCATGGGGCTCACAGTGGCTGGTGAACTTTAATTCAGATAAAACTCAATTTTATTCGGCCAATCGTTATCGTAATAATTTAGATCTTCCTATATTTATGAATGGTAATGTACTAGATGAGTCATCTACTCATTCATCTTCTAGGATTAACTCTTACTTCTGATCTTTCTTTTAAACCGTATATCAAATCCATTGCAAAATTAGCATCTGCTAAGGTTGCATCTCTTTATCGAGCTCGACACTTTCTTACTCCAGATTCTATTCTCTATCTCTATAAATCTCAAATCCGTCCCTGTATGGAATACTGTTGCCACATCTGGGGCGGATCTTCTAATGATGCTCTTTCTCTTTTAGACAAGGTGCAAAAACGAATTGTAAACATAGTTGGACCTGCTCTGGCAGCCAATCTCCAACCTTTGTCACATCGTCGTAATGTTGCTTCTCTTTCTCTTTTCTACAAATACTATAATGGGCACTGCTCTAAAGAGCTAGCGTCCCTTGTGCCATCTACTAAAATTCATTCTCGTGTTACTCGCCATTCATTTAAGTCTCATCCTTTTTCTGTGACTGTTCCTAAGTGCTTCAAAAACTCTTATTCTTCTAGTTTTTTTCCTCGAACATCAGTTCTTTGGAATTCGCTTCCTTCATCTTGCTTTCCTGATTCATATAATTTGCAATCTTTTAAGTCATCAGTCAATCGTTATCTTGCTCTACAGATTTAGTCTTTTCTCTTCCAGTAACTTCCAACTCTTATAGTGGTTGCTTGCAGCCTTGTTGGAAGTGAAGATGTTAAAAAAAAAAAAAAAAAAAAAAAAAAAAAAATATATATATATATATATATATATATATATATATACATATATATATATATTATATATATATATATATATATATATATATATATATATATATATATATATATATATATATATATATATATATATATATATATATATATATATATATATATACATATATATATATACATATATATATATTATAACTTATGGCATCTTTTATTTTGTTGTCTAGATCATCTTGTTAAAATGTGGAAACAAACAAAACGAGATATAGGAAGAAAATTCGAAAGTGGCAGTACAAAAAGAAAATTAATTGCTAAAAGAAAAGCAGATAGTGAAAAACTTAAAGGTGCTTTGGATAAATACTTCAAAATAGGCAATGCTGACAAAGATGAAAAAGATCCTGGAGAAAATAATGATCAAGACCTAAAAAAAACTAATAAAAAAGATGAAAAAATAATGAAAACAAAAATAACAAAAAAGATGAAAGCAAAAATTATGGTAAAGATGAAAATAAAATTAATGACAACGATATAGAAGAAAATATTGCCGAAGACAATAAACAAGATGCCTAATTAGAGAATCTTGAATTGAACATTACAGTAGAAACAATTCAACCAAATATGACTGGGAGTAAAGATGAATATTATGGTGAAGAACTAAGTATAACAAATGATTCTGCAACTTGGCCCGAGATAATTAGTCAACAAATAAGAGACTATTTAGTTAAGAAAGGACCACTAAAAATTCTTTCCGATGATTTTCCCTGTTAAAACGATGGAAGATATTTTTTAAAAGTACATTTGAAAAGAAAGCTTTCAAATGGAGAAATAATAGTTCGTCCGTGGATAATATACTCTGAGTCAAAGGACAGAATATTTTGTTTTTATTGTCGCCTATTTAGTGTAGGGGTACCATTTGGTGCACTTGCTACTTCTAGATTTAATAACTGGTCAAATATTTTTAAAAGATTACCATTGCATGAAAATTCAAAAAATCATTTGATAGCAATGTTAAAATGTACAAATCTTCAAAAACGACTGTCTGCTGAACAAACAATCGATAAAGTGCAGCAAAAGTTGCTCAATCAAGAGAAAATTCGTTGTTATAAAATTTTTAAAAGACTATTTTCTGTGGTTCAGTTTTTAGCTGAGCGCAATATAGCATTTCGAGGATCTGTTGAAAAACTAGGTGATGCAAGAAATGGAAATTTTATAGGTATTATAGAGTTACTTGGAAAATTTGATCCAATAATGCAGGACCATCTACGGCGAATTGTCAGAAAAACAAATAATGAACATTATTTAAAAAAAAAAATCCTCGAAAATAAAACAAAAGCTATATATTAAATATTTAAAATCAAAATCAGTAAAACATAAAAATAACTATATCACCTATAAAAACTTATATGAAAAACTTCGCAAAAATGCAAAAAAAAAATACTACTCCTACTTGATCAATAAACATAAAAATAATTCGAAACAAATCTGGAAAATAATGAAAGAAATTACAGGAAAACTTAAAACAAATACAAATTCTCTGCCACATGAAATAAAAATTGACAACAAACTAATTAACGACTCAAACTATATTGCAGCTGAATTTAACAAATTTTTTACAACAATTGGAACTAAACTAGCAAACAGTATTCCGTATACCGACGATAAATCAGCTGATTTCCAAACATCAACTTCATCAAGTTTTCACTTTACTGAGTTAACTTATGATGAATTTGAAATTGACTTTAGTTCATTAAAAAGAAATAAAACAACTGGGTATGATGATATTAATGTGAATATTATAATAGACTTTTGTGATGTTATAAAACACATTATTTTTAAAATCTTTCGAGCATCCATCAGTCAAGGAATGTTTCCAGATTGTCTAAAAATAGCTAAAGTATTTCCTGTCTTCAAGACAGGAGATCATACAAACATAAATAATTATCGCCCTATTTCAGTTCTTTCAGTCTTTTCAAAAATACTAGAAAAAATAATGTTTAATCGAATTTACGACCATCTAATTAATAATAAAATCTTATACGAAAACCAATTTGGTTTTAAAAAAAACAATTCAACAGAACACGCTATTCTCCAACTTACGCGCGACATCTCAGAATCTTTTAAAAAATCTCATTTCACATTAGGAGTATTTATTGACTTATCTAAAGCTTTTGATACCGTCAACCATCAAATTCTAATAAAAAAATTATTATCATATGGAATAAAAGATAACACCCTCAATTGGTTAAAAAGCTATCTTACAAATCGTAAGCAATATGTTTATAATAAAGAATCCTCGTCTCAAGTGTTAATGAATGTAACGTGTGGTGTTCCACAAGGTTCCATACTTGGACCTCTTCTCTTTATAATATATCTAAATGATCTTCATAAAACTTCAAGCCTAACAAAAATAATCTTTGCAGACGACACAAATTTATTTCTATCTCATGAAAATATTAATATTCTTTTCAACAACATGACAAATGAATTAAAAAAAGTTTCTGATTGGTTCAAAATATATAGGTTATCTCTCAACACAGCTAAAACTAAATGGACACTTTTTATCCACTCCATAAAAAACATAGAATACCTCATTTGTTACCCGAACTATATATTGACAATGTAATGATAAAAAGAGAAAAAGTAACAAAGTTTCTAGGAATCTATATTGATGAAAATTTAACTTGGAAACATCACATTAACATTATCTCTTCTAGAGTTTCCAAATGCATCGGTATTCTTTATAAAGCTAGAAACATACTAAATAAACGGCAGATGACTCAACTGTACTATTCATTTGTTCACTGTCATATAAACTATGCAAATATTATATGGGGAAGCACTCAAAAGACAAAACTTAAAACTCTTTTTAATCATCAGAAACACGCAGCTCGCGCAATTAATTTTAAAAATCGTCTTACTCACTCTGCGCCACTTCTTAAAGATATGAAAGCTTTGAATGTTTATCAACTTAATATTTTTAATATTTTATGCTTTATGTTCAAGTGTAAAGAAAATTTATCTCCACAGGTATTTCAATATCTTTATTCTTTAAAACCGAAAAACAAATATAATTTACGAATTGACAACAATCTTAATGCTCCTTTTTGCAAAACTAAATACGACGAATTTTGTATGTCCTATCGTGGACCTCTTCTTTGGAACAAAATAGTTTTACCTAATTTTGACTTTTCAATCAAACTAAACTACTCCTCATTCAAAACCAAAATTAAAGAAATTATCTTTTCAATTGAAAACATCTTTATCTATTTTTGAGTTTTTATCAATTTATTGCTGATATATTATACTTTATTGTACTGTGTTTTACTATTTACGAATATTTCAATGAGTTCTTTGCAAACTTATGTATTTAATGGTTTTTATTTTATTACTTTTTATTACTGTGTTTTGTTAAACTTCATATTATCTTTGTTATTTTACGAATTTTTATAACTTCATTATAATATTACGTATTTATATTATATTATACTCGATACTAAAATGCATTGTAAAGGGCTTCATGATAAGATCCTCATGATCTTCTAGAAGTCCTGCCACTAAATTTGTAATATGTTAAAATTTATATTATTAAAAAAATTATTTGGAAAAAAAAAAAAAAAAAAAAAAAAAAAAAAATTTAAGTAAATTTAAATTATAAATGTAATAGGCAGTAAAATTCGAAATAAAATTATAGAGCGAATAAAAAAAGGAAAGTATTTTGCTACTATTCTTGGCTGTACTCCAGACATTAGTCATAAAGAACAAATACAAATACAAATAGTATCTTTTAGCCTTAGATATGTTTTAGACGGTACACTACCAGGTTCAAGTGCCAATTTATATGAACAGTTTATTAAATTTATACATATAGAGATCAGTACAGGAGAAAACCTATTTTCTGTGTTGAAACAAGAAATTCAATCTTTAGGACTGAAGATTAATGACATTCGTTGGCAAGGCTATGACAACGGTTCTAACATAAAGGGAAAGTTTTCAGGGGTTCAGGCTAGATTGCTAAAAGAAAATTCAAGAGCATTTTTTACACCTTGTACATGCCATAGTTACAATCTCCTATTGGGAGATGTAGCCAAAATTCGCCCAGAAGCTATAACATTTTTCGATATTCTTCAACGCCTGTATGTTTTATTTTCGACATCTACAAAAAGATGGTCGGTGCTTTTCAAATATGTGAATGAGCTTACTGTGAATCCAACTTGTGATACCAGATAAGAAAGCCGGATTCAAAGTGTTAAAGCAATAAGATTCCAAATAGGTGAATTTTACGATGCACTTTTTGAAGTATCTGAAACCTCCGAAAATCCACAAATCGAAATTGAAGCTGAATCACTTGGAAACTTAATGAAAGATTATAAGTTTTTAGTTACTCTGGATTTTTGGTATGACCTACTCTTCCAAATAAACTTTGTAAGTAAAAAACTTCAATGTAAATCATTAAACCTATCAACAGCTCTTAGCTTATTTGAAAAACTTTTAAGTTGGTTGATTAATTGCAGAAACATTGGATTTGAGCACAGTCAAGGCAAAAGCACTTGCAGAAGACTTAGAAATATATCCAGAATTTTGAAATAGGCGGCTCTGGAAACAAAAAAAGCATTTTAATTACGAAGGCAATGATGAGCTTATTATAAACCCTTTAAATACATTCAAGATATCTTTTTTCATGTAAATTTTAGATAAAGCTAAACAATTGCTAGAAGATCGTTTTGAACAATTACAAAATCATGATACTTTATTTGGGTTTTTGGGAAGATTTCAAAATATAAGAAATGAAGATCAATGCCTTAGATTCAGAAATTTAAAACATTTAAAACATCACTACTGTTTATTTATATTTAACAAAGTTCAGTTGAATTCATTCTTAAACTTATATGCGATTTTCGTAACAAAAATATATAAGCATGTTTTTATTTAATAGAATATAGTGAAATTATTGATTATATATATTTAATAATAAACACAATTTTACCCTCGTACATTAGTATTCTTTAACCCCTCCCCTTGCAAACTAAACTCGCGTCGGGTCTCACGCTTGCTCGAGCCGGTACTATATATATATATATATATATATATATATATATATATATATATATATATATATATATATATATATATATATATATATATATATATATATATATATATATATATATGGACACAAGACTGGCTGCTTAGTAAACTCAATACATCAGATTCAGAAAGGGACCTAGGAGTGATTTTTTCAGATAACTTGAAGTGGAAAAATCAAGTATTATCGAGTGCAAGCAAAGCTAATTGCATGTTGGGCATAATAAAAAAATCTTTTGTTCGATTTGATGCTTAACTGCTTAAATCCCTATATCTTTCATTTGTTCGACCGCTACTTGAGTTTGCTATACCAGTATGGGCTATTTATCAAAAACAAGATATAATCATTTTAGAAAAAGTACAGCGTCGTGCAACTAAACTAATACCTCAAATCAGTAAATTATGCTATGAAGATCGACTTGCTTATCTTAAAATACCCTCACTTATTAAAAGAAGACAACGAGGAGACATTATACAACTATATAGAATTTTCAAAGGTTATGATAAAGTTGAATTTAAAGAAATTTATTTATTTAAATCAAGTTGTACTCGTGGCCATAACCTGAAATATTCTAAAGAATTTTCAGTACATAAGTGTAGAGAAAATATTTTGCTTAATCGAGCTGCAAATTATTGAAATGCACTGCCAGAAAATATTGTCAGGGCTACTTCAACGAATTCATTCAAAGCAAAACTTGATCGATGGGAGTCAAACCATCACGGAATTCAGCTGTCTTAGTGTGCTTAAAACCACACTCACTGGTATCAATACCAGTCACAGCATAAACTAATACTAATACTAATACTATATATATATATATATATATATATATATATATAGAATAAATCTTCTGCGGCTGAAAATTCAGCCGCTCTAAGCAAATAAAAATTGCTTCTGCGGCTGAAAATTAACGCATGCGCTAGTTTAACGTTTAAACACGTTTTTGCGTACATGCTTTATTTTTGAGATTACTCCTGGACATAAAATGAGTAGCCTATCAATTGGAAAATCTTTTGAGAGTTTTGAAGAAGCCGATATCTTTATATCTAATTTTTGTAAAGCTAATTTTCATCCTGTAAGTCAAAGGCACAATGTGACAATTGCAGCTTACAACAAAAAGGTGAGCTTAGGGTGGTCCATAAAACAACTTTTTTGAGAAAAACCTGCTGACACCCCCTAAATGTGTTTTATCTAATGCAAAAACACTAGGTTTAAAATTTTTTTGAACAAAAATTATTTTTAGGGGTAGCTCAAGGCCCTCAAAAATTTGACGGGTCCCTAATATTTTGAAAAAAAAACTTTTTCTAAAGTATGTCAACCTGGTACTCAAAATAAGCAAAATTATATAAAAAATTTAAAAATGATAATAATTTTTTATAAAAATAATTTTTTTAGGTATAAATGCATAAAAACTATTGTTTTTAAGCTGAAAATAAAAAAAGTCAATATTTTCAGGTTTTTTGAGAATAATTTTTTTTAGGCATGTTTTTTATGTAAAATGATTATTATTTTTGAAGTTTTTATACAATATCGCTTCTTTTGAGTACCAGGTTTACATACTTTAGAAAAAGTTTTTTTTTCAAAATATTAGGGACCCGTCAAATTTTTGAGGGCCTTGAGCTACCCCTAAAAATAATTTTTGTTCAAAAAAATTTTAAACCTAGTGTTTTTGCATTAGATAAAACACATTTAGGGGGTGTCAGCAGGTTTTTCTCAAAAAAGTTGTTTTATGGACTACCCTAGGTGAGCTATTATATAAATAGATAAACATGAAAACGAACTTTTATAAACGAATGGACATATCCTGTTCCATAATATAGCCTTTCAAAGGCTATATTAGACTTATGTTAGGCTATATTAAGGCTATATATAAGCTTATAATAAGCTGTAAAGCTAATGTAAATAAACAATAGTCCTTTATTTACATTAGGCTTTATTCAATCAAATTACACTGTAGTTTACAGTGCTTCTGAAAAGTTTTGCAATTTTATTAATAAAAGTGTAAATTATGGTTGATTATATACACACTGAAAATAAAATAAACATTCATAAAGATGACGACTGTAAATGTTCTTATGGGTAGGTTTACAATCTCAATGCTTTGGTGACCCTCCTTGCCATTGAAATCCAGATCTTTGAACACAATACTGGAGCTATCTCTTTCTAGCAGACACACTCAAATGTATCTAAAGATGTAATTGAGTGTTTAAATGTGTTTCACACATACACAAACAACCACCCACACACATGCATACAGACACACACACAATTACATCTTTAAAGTTTTAATTAAGTGTGTTTGCTTGTAAGAGATGTCAGTTTGTAATTGTTATTTAAGTGTGACTTGCACTCAAAACTTTCTTTGTGGCAATTTTAACTTACATAATATTCAGTGGGGTTTGCATGTCATTTGATACTTATATTTATTTGGTTACTACTATAACTTAACTATTAAATAATTGGCTTAGCATTTACACTTCTGTGCAGTGAAGTCATCAAATTTGAGAAAATATGTCTAGAATAACACTTTTATTATTGATTAGTTATTCTAAAGTTACAAGAATAAGTTATGTGATTAATGCATTTTTTTCTCTAGAGCTTCTGTTTGACAATGCTTCAATTGCATTTTTTTTTGGAAAATATATTCAAGGGTTTTTAAATGTCTTCTGGTACAGAATTTTTTATCATGTTTGAATCAGTTCTACTTGTATTACAAATCAAAGCAATCAAATGGAATAATGATAATTGCAATTTAATTTTTTAATTTATTAGTTACAATGATTTTTGTACAGCATTCCAATATTGTTAGTCGAATCGATGACACAATGAAGAAGAACTGTATTCAAATCGGAAAACTTTTCTATCATAATTCTATATATATATATATATATATATATATATATATATATATATATATATATATATATATATATATATATATATATATATATATATATATATATATATATATATATATATATATATATATATATATATATATATATATAAAACTCTGATGGTACAAAATACTTCCAGATAATCCTACAGAAATAGAGGCTGCCAGTAGAAAAAAACAGTAGATAAGTGTTTTTTACTAATTACTGCTCATATGTTTGTGTGTTTATATATATATATATATATATATATATATATATATATATATATATATATATATATATATATATATTATATACATTTTTTATATAGTATATTTGCTTATATATATATATATATATATTTTTTTTTTTTTTATTCATTTACTCAATAGTATTACTCAACTGTTAAATAACACTGAATGGTAAAATAAAAATAAATACTTTAGACTAGTTTTATGGTATAAATGTTGAATTTGGATTTTTTTTTCTTGTCATTGGTTGCTGGTGTCAGTGTAAAAAAAAGTTTGTGATTAAAAGGATTAAAGGTCAAGTGATTGTATTAATTTTGGGCAATTAATATAAAAATTATACCTCAAACATTTAAGATGAAAAAAAAAAGTTTTACATTGCTTTTGATAATGTAAGAAAGTTGTTCGCATGGTAAAAGTAAAAAGAGAATATTGCAAGTCTGCTAATCCTGGTGTATTAGCTTAGCTTTTGAAGGCTTTAGAGGATGTAGGTCATCAATGCAATTCTATTGTACATGAAGGAAAAATCCAAAATTATTGGAAGAAAACTGGAATGGCAAATGTTTATAAACTCAATTGAAAAAACATTACTAAGGAATAAAACTTTTTAAAAACAAAGATTTTAGAAAAAACAAAATAAGCTATTTATCAATAACAAACAGTTTGGTTTAAGATCCAGATAAGGAAATTTTAGATGTAATATTTATTGTAAGTCAAGTAATGATTATTTAAAAAAAAGTATATTTCAGGAATTACTTTAATGGCTTTTTAAATTAATAATTAATAAGATGCAAATAATTAGGGTTCAGCATGAAGTTAGCTTCAGAAGAAAAAAGTTCAGGAGAAAAAATTTGGGGAATAAGTAGGAAAAGTCTGACTTTTACCTGTAGAAAAGCTACAGGTAAACAGTAAAGCTTCAGGTAAAGATAGAAGGTGCTTAAGATGGTGTATATTTGAGAAACAACGTAATGAAATACAGCACAGAGAGAAAAACTTCTAATTTTTTGAGGCAAGTTAAAAACTAGATTTTGTTTACTATGAAAAGATAACCGTTTTAATTGGAGCAACAGATTTCTGGTTATTTTTTCTTTATTTATTTTTTAACATCTACTAGAGACATGGTGTTACCAGAGAAATGGTGGGGATTGAACGCAAAATTCTTGCTTATGAGGCAAGCGCTCAACCACTACCGAATTAGATTAACAGTTACCATTTGCCCGTTATTAGATGAGTCAGATTGCTCTTCAAAATTTTTGAAAGTAGGGATAACATATGTCGCTTTCCAGCAGGCTGGAAAACAAGACTCTGATAAGCAGTTTTGAATATATATGTAAGTAGTTTTGAAAGTATTGATGACAGACGCTGCAAGATTATAACAGATAATGCAAGATTATTTCTGCAAGACTAAAGCATGTACGTAGTTCGGACCACAAGCTGTAGAAAAGTCTATGCATGAAATTACTTTAAATACAGAAGCTAGAGTGTTACCAATATCAAGCAGTAGATCAACTTGTTTGTTGTTGCTATATCAGGTAAGATATAATTAGTTGAATCAATAGATAAAGTTGATGAAAAGTTCTTAGCAAACAATTCAGCTTTGCCTTTGAACAAAATCTGATTCATGCAAGAGAGGAGGAATAACAGATTCACCCTTATTACAGACACTGTTGGAGATTCTCTAGAAGTCTCTAGAGCCAAAATTTTGAGATAAAATATAAGATTTTGTGACATCAGAATAGCAGGCTTTGGCGTTTGAAAAAACCTTTTTATATTGGTTTCTAGAAGTTGTAAACAGACATCTGTTTTATTAAGAATTGTTTTATCATTAGATATAAATAAAATAGATTTAAACCTAGTTTCGTGAAATGTAACTCACCTGAGAAATGGGTGAATTACAATTGTAAATGCTCAGGCTAATGAAACAATCTATTACAGGGTTCGTACTGTACCTGGAAAACCTGGAAATTTAGTTAATTTGAGCTAAAGTCAGGGAAAATCTGGAAAAGTCAGGGAATATATATTTTTTCTTTAGATAGGCATGGAAAAGGGAATTCTTATTGTGATTTTACTTGCTTTAAAATTAAGCTATTATGTTTTTGTTGGTGCTACCCATTTATTTTTTCTGAAACTTATTTTTTTCTTAGTATTCATTCTTAGTCATTCTTTATAATAAGATCCAACTTAACTAATAGTTAAGTTTTATAAGTTTTGTCATTCAAAGCATGTAAAATTTTAACATTTCCATTACAGTAGATAGTAGTTTTAAACATTTTATAAAAACCATTATTGAAAATGGTCAGGGAATTTCGTCTGATTTTTCAAAAAAGTCAGGTAAAAGTCAGAGAATTTTGTATAAATATTTGGCTATGAACCCTGTATTACAAATATATCTGTTCCAGCCTAATGAAGAAGGGGTGTAAAGCCAATTGAAGAAGTGGTACGAGACTAGTCAATAGAATCTGTTTACCCTTTAAGTCTTTGTCAAGGTGGTCATTTACAAGACAGTAGCTGA